CATTTCTTGAGGTAAGCTGCTTTTTACTAGAGTGCAAAAGGAGTTAGCTTCATGACGTTGGTATGCACTGTTTGTGCTTGGTATGGGGTGTAGCGTTGACTCGAAATCTGCCGCGATGATGATAGGAACTTTGATTTGCATTTCGTAATGCTGGAAGCGTAGGTGATTTTTATCGGAATCAGGGAGTACCACCTCGCTTGGCTTTGATCTCCCACATAGCAACAGATGCTCACTCAGCCAAGCCTCTGGACTAGGCCTGCATCGTCTATTTTCTTTAAAGCTTGAGCAGCGTTTGCATATTGTTATCTTGTTAGTACCTTTTGTCACTTGTGGCTGCATAAGTTTGACAAAGTATGTTATATACACATAGTGACTTTCTCCTTCTTCATTCTTGATTAGTAGGAGGTCAAAGTGATCTTGCTGTTCCTTGACGATTCGTAGTGGTGAAGTGTGTCCCCTCGAATCACATTCAAACACGTTCACAGAGGTGTTATCGTTGTTTGCTTCAAAGGTTTTTATTTCTTTTATTCCAGTAGGGAAATCCAGTCCATCGAAATTGTATGTATCACAGAGGTCATCAAATGAGTCTTGTGTCAGTAGCATGTCATGTTTTAAATTTGGTATGTGTTTGGTTAATATAGAGTATTTGTAGCGTCCGTCATCTTTGTTACGTACATTTACACACGCTTTACGTTTGTAAACTTTATGAGGCAAGGGTATATAGGAACTGCCTCTTGGCTCAGCATAAATAAATTTGCTTAACCTAAGGGTAAGTGTTTTTACCTCGTGTAGAGTCCAGCCACTGCCTTTGCTTTGTGCTTCGGACTCTTCTCGAAGTATCTTGACGGCATCCTTCTTCAGAAGTTGTTCGAGCTCGTCGCTGCCACTGTGTATCAACCTGGATATTGTCTTGAAGTTCATTAACTCGCAAGGACCCTCTGGATGACAGTAGACAGCCTCTAGTACAATGTTGTATTTCAGTGACCTGCTGAGTTGTAGCTCATCCCGGATGATCTCCACTGCGACATCATTGGCAGCTTCAAGAAACGGCGCCAGATCCTTGTAGAAGTTGTCTATTACAGATATAGAAATATCAAAGCTCCATTCTGCAGCATTGAACTTCCCCTCTAACAAAAAATTTTTTTTTACATTTATGATTAAGCTGTTTTTTTTCTTTTACAGAATGGCCAACTTCCAAGCAAAACTGCAACAACTTAAGGCAGTCGAGGGGCTAGAGAGGGTTGGTGCTCTCGACTTGTCAAACCCGGCAGGATACCCGATTGTCGGGATGAAAACACACAATCATCCGACCTACGGAAAATCCATTATTGCGGAGGTGGATATGGGAAAAAGAGAGTATTTACTTTCCTACCAAAGCGCTTTGCAATGAACTTGACCCTTGAAGAGATAGAGGAAATAGCTGGAGGAGGCTATAAAATAAAATGTATGGGGATCGCGAATAGATCCCCGATTATTGAGATTTTTAAATAATTCTTTAATAAATCATATGACAAAGAACTCTTGTCTCATTCACACAAACCCTGACCATCCTTAACATCAGTACTATAAAGAAGCACAAGCTCCCAATAAGGAAATACTGCAGTGTGAGCGCCAGAGGCTACTCCTCGACCGCCAAAAACAGGTTGACGCTCCAACACTGACCTTACCCACGGCACACCTCAGAACTTGACCTTACTCAACTCCAAACCTCCTAACACACTGATAGAGTTTCAATACTCACGCCATGATCTCCACGTTAAGTAGCGCATACACTCAAACACAAGCTATACACTGCACCCTAACACCAAGTGCACACCGCGCTCGGCCATGTACGCACCGCGCTCACAAGTATTGATTCTCCTACGATGTACCTAGACGAAAACTCACAAAGTCGAGCTGTGGCCACGTTCTCAGTCGAATCTCCATACTTTTCAACGAAGCTGTGGCCAGTGTGACCATTAGACAACAAAAACTCAAAGTCGAGCTGTGGCCACGTTCTCAGTCGAACATGCGGCCATACTTTTCGACGAACCTGTACCTAGACGAAAAGTCAAAGTCGACCTGTGGCCATACTTTTCAACGAACCTGTGGCCAGACCTTTCTACTCACTTATACTCGTATTGCTGGATACTCTTAAGTGATGGGTATTCATGCTATAGTTTGTATTTAATTTACTGCATTTGTATTATTATACTACCATCAATGCTTTTTTAGCTATAATGCAAATCAGCATCTATTCGTCGTGTTGCATATTTCTTTTTTCTATTATGACACATTGGTACTTATGTTGGATATAATGCAAATCACAACATCCATTCGTCGCATTGCATGTTGTGTTTTCTGTTACGTCGCATCGCTTTTGTTCATTTCTTAGTATTTGGCGTTTTTTTTTTTTTACCTGTTAATATAAGCTTTAAGTAGATGTGGTCTCTTACTCATCCTTTCTATTTGTTCTTTCACAGTTGTTGTTAACTTGGAGCTATTTGTTAGAATTGTATTGTATGTTTATGTTTGTGAACAATAACTTCAGAGTATTTGTACATGGAATGTCATATTCCCTGTATTTTAACTACACAAGTGATCACCCTACATTATAACTATTCATACATATTTTAGTTTGCCACTAGTCTATTACGTTTTTTTTTTTTGTTTTTTTTTATCAGTTACCATCATGTCTCTAAGCACAAAATTGAACACTCTTGAGAAGGGGGCGTATCTGCCTCGAGTGGAGGTATCCTCCCTAACTGACGAAGCGGGGTACCTGGTGGTTGCTGCTAGGCTAGTGGCCACCAGGTTCGGACAGGCAATTGTGCTCGATGTGGACATCCCAGAACGAGGAGGCCAGTTCAGCACATTCCTGCCGAAGCGGTTTGCGGAGGCTCTGACTCCCGAAGAGCTAAGGGTAAAAACAGACAGGCAGCGGAGCGGAGCGGAGCGGTGTACCACGTCACGTCCGCTCCGCTTGTCCGAAGCGTTCACTGCGCACACAGGATGCGCAGCGGATCGGGAGCGGCGAGCGTCTAGCCCGCCCATAATCACCATGGCACAGACAATGGAACATTAAAGTATTATATTGTCTGTGACCATGGCGTTGTCCAAAAGTCAACGTACTTTATTGCTCTGCGAAAATACTTATTTAAAATGGTTTGCTTTGCGAGGTGTAGGCAGGAAACAATGGGTTCATGAATTGAATGAAGTGAGACAACAATTTGGTGAGTATCACCACTTGTTTAAAGACTTAAAAAACTTTGACAAACGATTTTTTGAGTACATGCGCATGTCAATCGGTACTTATGACTACATCTTATCAAAAGTTAAAGATGGCCTTGAGAAGCAAGTAACTAATTGGAGAAAGCCGATAAGTGCCGAGGAGAGACTTGTTGTTACTTTAAGGTAAGCTGTTATTTAACTTTGTTATGCCACTTTAGTTTGTAAAGATAAAAACTTGCGTGCATGTATAGTTAAGATGAGTTATTTTATTTGTATAAACAAACAAATACGTTATTGTCCGAGGGGACATGTCAAATTTTAAAATCGATTGATATCACACAAATACACATAGTTCACAAACACGTTTATTTGGGTAGGCCTACCACACGTAAAAATACACTCGCCGCGGCACACCCGGAAGCAGCTGCTTCCGGGAAGTGCCACGGCGAGAGTATTATTTGCGTGTGATACTTCCGGTTTTTGCGGATTTAATCAGATATTTAAAGTCTGATTAAAATTATTTTTTACATATTGTTGTTCGTGATAAATGTCCGCACAAAATTTTTACCCACAAGGTTATACATACAATGAGACAAGTAGTATTATAGTAATATATACCTTTTTAGAAAAATTAAACTGTATGACTTTATTGTTAGGGTACATTAAAGATGCACATTATAAGTTGCAGTAACATTTTATTCACTTAAAAAATTGCATTATTAATAAACAATTACACAATTGTACACAGTTGGTTACACAATATTTTTTTATTCAAGACTGGCAGATCTTAAGTATACAATCATAAGTGTTACATTAATTTGTCAGTTTTCATTCGATTACATTATGTAGACCGTAGGCCTGCTGATGGTCGTACTGTGGAGACCATGAATTATTGTAGTCGAAGGTAGTCAAGCTTGTACTCGTAGATCTCCCAGAAGGGGGGCGTCCGCTGGTTTCATCAATGATTACCTGAGTTAGCTTGTTTCTCACTTTGAGTTTTCTTAGTGGATCCAAACTCTGTAGATGAGGAAGCAGACTCATCAGAAAATGGTAATCTTCCGAGTCGTCATCATGCTGTCTGTTTGTATTCTTCAACAAATCAATTTTTTTTTCTTCCAACAGAAGCATTTTTTTTGCTACTGTATCTTGAACTGTCTCCTTCCGTTTGCGGGATACTTTTGTAGTAGGTAAAGTATCTTGTTGCTCGTCAAGTAGAGCGTCACTGTCGTCAATTTCAGGAGGTCTTTGGTTGGAATTCTGACAGTCAGGCGAATCAATGTCGTTTTCATGTGTGTTAACAGTTTCCATGATGACTTTTACTTTACTACAACCAGTTGATTTTTCCAAATTACCTGACATCGGAATGGTGTTCACTTAATCCTTCATGAAATCCAGCAGAGTGAAGTAAGGCCAGCTTGATGTTTGAATAGACCCACCTTCGTCACCAGACTTACTTTTCATAGCTTTCCTCAACTCTTTGCGGTAGTTATCTTTGAGATATTTCCATTTTGAGTGGGCAGCATCTTCTGAAAATAAAAAAAGTATATAAAAACTGATAATGATTAAAAAAACTTAATTTTTTTCTCAAGTCACATTTATTGGTGAAAAGTAAACTATTTAAAAATTAAAAAAAATTGATTAACTGATTTATTTAAACACTTTAATGGTTTAAATTAACTCCTCGGACCCTTTAATTGTTTCCCTTTACTTTCTATCATAACTAACTATTTTTTACCATCTAAGTCTCGGGGTTTTTTTTTAGGTACTTAGCAACTGGTGCTCAGTTCAAGATGTTGGCTTTCTCTTTCCGTATGGGTGCCTCCACAGTGAAAGCCATTGTGTTGGAAACTTGCAAAGTTATTTGGAAGAACCTTCTCAAAGACCATATGCCACAACCTACTGCAGAAATGATGGAGAAGTCCAAAGCTGGATTTTGGGAACTATGGAACTTCCCCAACTGCGTGGGAGCACTGGACGGCAAACATTGTAGGGTAAAATCTCCACCACATTCGGGATCTGTGTAGCCGGGGGGCCGTTTTGGTGAGGGGATGCGGGGTTAAGGTATGGGATGGAGGAGGGAAATTCGGGTAATCAGGAGGGAATAAACAGGGTAATGCTAATAGGTTAGGAAGAGGTGTGTCTGGACCAAACTTAATTTCAGCGTGCTGAATCTGCTACCAATACAATTAGGAAGATTGCTGGGGACCAGAGGGACGGAGACCTTTTACCCAGATCAGAACACTTGCCTAGCCAGCTTTGATTTGAACTAATGGAACTAACTATTTAAATATTAACCTATCCTTCAAACTATGAACTGAACTTGGGAAATTACTTACTAATATTGATGAGTGAGGGAAAATAATATTTAGATTGAATATTGAGTGGCTAATATGTATGAAATTGATGGATAATTGCTAAGCTACATTCTGGGAACATGTGGTTTAACTAACAGGTTTGAGAAGGTCCGCTACCTTAAGGGTAGCGAACCCGGCTAACATTTGTTTCCTACATTTCACCAGTCGGGCGAGCCAGAAGGGCTCCCCGCTTGTTACCTGACTTAGCCAACCATAATTTGAACTTATTACTAATTATTAACTATCAATTAACTTATCCATCATATCGAGAGAATGCCTGGTGTTTTCCGGAGAGGTTTTCTGTCCAGATGAAGGTTGACGAAGAAGGAGGACAAGACTATGAAAGGAGGGGATAGAGCATTGATGCAGTCGCGGCAGGCAACGAGATGAACATGCAGCCCGGCTTCGCGAACTGCTCACACTATAAAAAATATAGCGTGCCGGTATGCGTCACATCTGCATACTACAATTATAAGAAGTTTTTTTCTATTTTACTTCAAGGTGTCTCTGATCCAGACTATAAATTTCTTGCAGTTGAAGTAGGTGGGAAAGGAAGGAAAAATGACGCCGGTACATTTTCCACGTCAGCACTATATGACTGCCTTCAAAATAAGAGCTTCAATATTCCTCCAGATTCTACGCTACCACAGTCAAACGTCAAAGTCCCTAATGTACTTGTTGCTGACGAAGCTTACCCGTTAAAACCCTATCTGTTGAAGCCATATGCAAGAGTAAATCTAACGCCTGCAAAAACTGTTTTCAACTACAGACTGTCGCGTGCCCGAAGGTGCATTGAGTGTGCGTTTGGTATTTTGTTTGCCAAGTGGCGTATTCTAGGTAAGGACATAGAAACCAGCGTTGAGAATGCTGCGCACATAATTAAGTGTGCTTGCCTACTTCACAACGTGGTGAGGGACAGAGACGGTGATAGTGATCCAGTGTTCAGGGAGGTGCGTTTCTCAGCGCGGAGAGGCGGTCCCATCCACATGCATCGAAGAAACAACAGGTACACTACCAGAGCTCAGAAAGTTCGTGACATGTTTGCTGAGAACCTCAAGACACAAAAGATTTTGAAAGGGGACTACAGTGTATTCTAGCAGTGTTGACTTAGTACTTTTCTTTTGAATACATCCTTATGTACCTTTTACGAAGACATCAAGTTAATTTTTATTTTACAAGAGTTTTTTACGCCTCCCCCTACGCGGCTCCTTATGGATATGCTTCCGCCCTTAAGACTTACATTCACTAATTGTTATGTAATTTAACCTTGTTGAAATATATGTATCTCGTTAACTCATGTACAAATTATTGTTCATGTTAATAAATAACTTATTGCACTTAAGTATTGGTATTTGTAACCTACTGCTACATCTTCTATAAGAATAAAATAGGATGTTGGTTTGTATTTTTTTTTAGCAGTGATAAACTCAAACACTGCTAGACCTATGGCCACGAAACTAGGTATACACTTTATATGTATAGTTTTACGGAGAAGGTTTATAGACCATCCATTTCGCTCTAACACAATTGGATTCCTACCCAGAGGCCCAAAAGAGATCCTATATTAACCTTATGGTAAGATAATGCTGTTTAAAAAAAGCAAATGGCATGTTTACTTGAACAGGTGAATAAAAACACATGTTCTTTGTTCAAATATGGTCTGTGATTTAAAACAGTTACCAATGTCAACAAGAGAATGCAGCACAGAGTTTTTCTGTAAATATAAAATGTCTAAGGAACTAGTATACAGATTATCAAGTCTTAGTACTTGTTGTGAACCAAAATCTTAAACTATTCTTATTGATAAGTATTTATATTTACTTACTTGTTGTGTTCAGAGAATTCGCAATACGTTCCCACGCTGCATCAATGACCCCACGGTTGTGGTGCAATTTATGACGTGTCTGCCATATTGCATGACGTTCATGAACTTCTGCTATTAACTGCTCAATATCAATTGTCGCCATAGTCCCAACTCACAAAACACTACAGCACAACACGCAAAGACAGGGAATACGCTACTGACACCGCTCCTGAACGCTTGGAAAAAACAAACTATGTTGTTTCGAGCCTCTCCGCTCCGCTACGCTCCAATACGCTCCGCTCCGCGACGCTGCTAGTGTGCGAGGTATCATTTAACATAATGGTTTTGTTTCTTCCGCTCCGCTGTCTGTCTGTTTTTACCCTAAGTGAGATCGCCAGCGAGAGCTATAGGATTCGGTATTTGGGGACAAACGGGAGGTCGCCAAATGTTAGATTATGGAAGGACTGAAGTTTTTATACAATAAAGTATGATTATTGAGGATATTTTGTTGTTTCTAAACGAGTTTATTGTTTACATATAGCAGCACATATTGGCATTTCAGCAATCTCAGTTTATGATTGCACACTGTTGATATTTTATATTTGTACACTTATACATGCAGGACTATACAGCTATAGGGTTTATTTAGTGGTATTACTGGTTTTGTGTTTAGTTTTTAGTCATTGGTTTTACTACATTACAGTACTATGTTCGCCAGAAAACAGTTGCTCTACAACTGTTTAGCATATTAGTCACAACACGATTACATATCCAGCTATATTAGTAAGCTCAAAGTACATTACATTTGCTCGGCACAATAACCATGACACTTGCTGGTCAATGATATAAGCTGCATGGACCTTCAAACCACTGTTAAATAAGGTTACGCAGTCTGCGAATGCAGGTGACTGGGTCACGGGCAACAGACTGCATTTCAGCACAGTAATCATCACTCTCTAGGAACCGCCATTCACTTTCTCGCTGCAGCTCTGACACAACACTCGCACCAGACACGGGACATGGCATGCGAATCACACTGTTGTGCTCAAGCAGTGTATACTTGTATTCATAGGAAAAAAATCAGGCAACTCTACCTACTCAGCTGTTATAAAATTGGTTCGTTTGATGTTTCAGAAACTGTATCTGACGATGGGGTTGTAAGGATTGTGGAGCGTCCGATAAGCCTTCCGCGCAGAAGCCAACTACGGGAAGCATTGAAAAAATCGTATGTTCGGCCCCATAGTCAGGGTGGCACCTAGACTACAACCCCGCCTTGAACGTGCTCCAATCGTCTTCGGTTTGACAGAGGAAGAACCCGCCCCAGCTCATAATCCCCGAGCCCCCAGCCCTGTGCCATCACCACCATCTCTCAACTTGCTAGCCTGGCACCAGCACCAGGAACTTTTCCTGGAACTGGAAAGGCAGGCAGAGGACTTGTTTTCCAATAAAAAAAAGATTTAAGAAAACGAATTGTTTTAATTTTTCCCAAGTTTCCTTCCTGTTAAAATGCATATATATATATAATGTGTAGAGTGGGCTAACATATTATAAGCCATATTTACTAGTCAAACAATAGCAGCCATGATATCACATTATGTAAATAAAGATAGCCCAAATTGGGACACATTTATACCGTACATACTCATGACACTTAGAAACGCTAAACATCCGGTGACAAAAAGCACTCAATTCTCACTCTTGGGCGTGAAATGCGATTACCTGCGGATGATGATTATCAATGTTCAGGGTTGTATGGGCGTGAATTGCGATTACCTGCGGATGATGATTATCAATTTTCAGGGTTGTATGGGCGTGAAATGCGATTACCTGCGGATGATGATTATCAATTTTCAGGGTTGTATGGGCGTGAAATGCGATTACCTGCTGATGACGATTATCAATTTTCAGGGTTGTATGGGCGTGAAATGCGATTACCTGCGGATGATGATTATCAATGTTCAGGGTTGTATGGGCGTGAAATGCGATTACCTGCGGATGATGATTATCAATGTTCAGGGTTGTATGGGCGTGAAATGCGATTACCTGCGGATGATGATTATCAATTTTCAGGGTTGTATGGGCGTGAAATGCGATTACCTGCGGATGATGATTATCAATTTTCAGGGTTGTATGGGCGTGAAATGCGATTACCTGCGGATGATAATTATCAATGTTCAGGGTTGTATGGGCGTGAAATGCGATTACCTGCGGATGACGATTATCAATTTTCAGGGTTGTATGGGCGTGAAATGCGATTACCTGCGGATGATGATTATCAATTTTCAGGGTTGTATGGGCGTGAAATGCGATTACCTGCGGATGATGATAATCAATTTTCATGTTATAGTGATACTCCAGTTGAGGAATTAGCACAAAAAATTTAAGAGGCGAATGAGTTAGCCCTAAAATACACCGAAGAGGCTTGGTTAAAGAACAAAGAGTATTACGACAAAATTAGATATTGTGTATGTATACCATACCGAAACTAAGAAAGCTGTACAATCTAAATTTAAACGTTACTGGCCGGGTCCTAATGAAGTGGTTGGCCAACTTATTGAAATAGTATAAAAAATTGACGTCCAAGGTAGGGTTGTAAATATTCATGTAAACAGATTAAAAAGTGTCGAGGCGAACAGCTGACTGATAAGGAGGCGCGTGCGGATGACGCAGTACAGATGGCGCAGCCGTAGACACTCGGGTTGAGATAAGCGACGTTATTACAGGTGATGACGTGCCAGAGATGGACGGTGTGTTACCCGGTGTGTTACCCGGTGAGTTAACTTGGTGCGACGGACCTCTCATGGTAGAAGACAATTTTGTTGACAATATGGTTCATAAGATAGAGCCAGTAAATTTTGAGGACGACGAGAGTGGTGTATTTGAACCACCCGATGATCATCGTGACGTTGATTGGGAACCACCGGTAGAACCCGTAGCACTACCCGGTGACATAGGAGGTCCTGCGTATAATACAAGATCTCGTGCAAGGCCATAAGTCTTAAAGATCAAATATGATTCAAAAGAAAAGTATTTATACAAACCAATATAACATATATATTAAGTAGTACTGTTAAATATACCACAATTATCTTTTATCATTTATGTACGTGTGCTTATGATGTTTGGTTACAAAAAGAAAAGTTTATACACGAAAAAAACTACAATAAAATGGCAAAATTATATATATCTAATATATAAAATTCTCGTGTCACAGTGTTTGTCTGCAAACTCCTCCGGAACGACTTCACCGATCGTTATGAAATTTGGTGTGTAAATTCTGTAGGTATGCGAATCGGACGTAAACTATTTCCCGTTTCGAAATTCTTAAAAGGGCTCCGCCCCAGTGGCTCTGGAGTTTCCCATGTTAACCTTATGAGAAATGGAATTAATGAATCTTAACAGCTGTTTCAATTAAACAAGTTGGTTCTGTTCTATGATGTTCAATAGCATTAAAGTTACAAGGATTACCAACAGGGTGCAGCACTATTATTTCTTTTACATTTATGACAACAGCTAATTTGCAACCAAAAGGTGAGTGAGCGTAGCGAACGAACTTCAACCTGGAGGCGAGTTAGCGTAGCGAACGAGCTAACCTGTAGGCAAGTGAGCGTAGCGAACGAGCTCCAACCCAAAGGTGAGTGAGCGTAGCGAACGAACTTCAACCTGGAGGCGAGTTAGCGTAGCGAACGAGCTAACCTGAAGGCAAGTGAGCGCAGCGAACGAGCTCCAACCTAAAGGTGAGTGAGCGTAGCGAACGAGCTCCAACCCAAAGGTGAGTGAGCGTAGCGAACGAACTTCAACCAGGACGTGATTGAGCGATGCGAACGAGATCATCTTGAAAATTAAACGTAACGGTACTTTCTTTCCATCGGTCTGTCTTAGGGGAAACCTATAACTTAGGCGATACGAAGTTCGCCGGGTCAGCTAGTATATATATATAAACCTTATAATGTACGAAGATTTTAATGATATTATATTTCGGTGAGAATATTAAAACATATTCTCCAGATAATTTCTAATGACGTCACATGATATTGCTGATAGTTCCTTGTGTCTTGCCAGTGATATGATAATAAAACAAACTGGTCACTTTATCGAAAGGAAACTATAGAAGTTATTGTTATGTCACATTTATGTTATCTTATACTTATGGGAGTCAGAAACTCTTGTGAGGAGAAAGTTTTTATTTACTTAATCACGAATATATCTTAATAATTATCATATATTTTATGCTATTATCATTGAGTAATATCAATTAATCGTTACATTATGTTATTTATGATATTTGTGTAA